GTTTGGTTACCTCCAAATTGGACGAACAGATGATGAGTGTTTTGGTCCAATTCTATGATCCTCTTTACCATTGCTTTACCTTCCAGGACTACCAGTTGGTCCCCACCTTAGAATAATTCTCTGAGTTGCTCGGTATCTCTATTCTGGAGCAGACCCCGTTTATTGGTTGGGAGAAGATTCTTAGGCCCGAAGAGATTGCTGCAGCCCTTCATATGACCAAAGATGAGGTAATGGCTAATTGGGAGACTAGAAGTGGAGCAAAGGGCTTTCTGACTAAGTTCTTGGTTTGTAAGGCTAATTATTTCTGGGATAGCCTAGACTTCAAGGCATTCGAGGATATTCTGGATCTTCTGATATACGACTTGGTATTGTTTCCGAACTCTGACTCCTTTGTTGATGTAAATGCGGTGAAAATCTTCATCTCTCGTAATCCTGTACCCACTCTCCTGGGTGACATTCTTCATCAGCTCTATGCTCGTACTTCCCGAAAGAGGGGAACCTTGATGTGTTGTGCTCCGTTATTGGCGAGGTGGTTTATTTCGCACCTCCCCAAATCAGTGCTGAAGAACAAAGAAGGCATGGGCTGGGCTTATAGGGTTATGTCTCTGTCTCATAATGATATCATCTGGACTCTCAAGGGTATGGATGAAGTGGCTATCATTGATCACTGTGGGGAGTACCCCAATGTTCCACTGATGGGAACCCATGGAGGAATTTCTTACAACCCATGCTTGGCCTTACGTCAGTTCGGGAGAGCCAGAAGAGAAGGACCTCATGAAATGCTAATGCCTAGTATCATCTTTGATTTTCAAGGGGATAGCGACGAGCAACGTCGCAGATTCATAAGGGCTTAGGATAGAGTTCACAGATCAGATCCACATGAGCTAGGTCCAAAGACTTCCCTTCCAATGGAGCCATATCTCAGATGGGTCCGTATCCGTGCCCAAAAGCTGGGTGTGCCATATGAAGCCGTTCGGCCTATCATTGTTGAAGTTGCTAATGAAGAGGGGGTTCTTCCTACCATCCTCCACCCTTACATGCCCACTGACATTGGGGCACTGAAAAGGTCTTGGATGCAGCTAAGAGAAGAACGGGATGCTTACCGAGAGAAGTTTAACGAGCAAGAGCAGAAGATCCAGAGGTTGACTAGGCAGCTGGAGAACGAGCGGATTCTCAATGACTATGTCCGCACCGATAAGAAGAGACCATGGGAGCACTGATTGTCCTTTGATTATTTTCTTTCCAGTTTTTATTTACTTTTCAGTATTTCCTTTCATGTAACGCCTTAAGGGCATCAGTTGAACAATTTGAATTCCAAAGTTTACCTAATAAAAGTGTGTTTCCTTTCTAGTTTACAAATTTGAATCTCTCGATTGTCTTTGAAATCATGTCATACGCATTTCATCTCATGCACTCCATAACAGGTACCCATTACAGGTCTCTTATCTTCTTCGTTGTTTATTTCAGCACTCATCATGTCTGCTGAACCTTCAACTGAGCAAGCCATCAAGGCCCTCCAGGCCCATAATGCCCAATTCCAAAAGCTATTCATGAATCTAGCTAAGGGTCAGCAAGATCTGAAGACCCTGATTCTGAAAGAGAAGAAGAAGAAAAAGAAGAGGACAATCCTGTTTAACACATGTCACCGGTTTGGAAACAGGCTACATAGTGAAGTTGATTTGACCACCTCATCTAGAGGGAAAGATAGTCAAGAAGAAAGGAGGGCTCCTAGCCCTGTGGTCTCTGACAACGAGATGGACTTTGATGAAGACCAGTATCCTCCTGCTGAGGATAGGTACAAGCAACTAGAAGACCGGTTGAGTGCTACGGAAGTTCAGAAAGTGCCTGGTATGGACTTTGGTGATCTAGGTCTGTCATCTGGGGTGGTAATTCCATACAAATTCAAGGCACTAGCCTTTGCTAAGTATGACGGAGTTTCTTGTCCGAAGCTGCACCTCCGGTCATATGTAAGGAAGATTCAGCCGTACACCGTTGATAAGAACCTATGGATCCATTTCTTTCAAGACAGTCTCTCAGGGACTCAGCTTGAATGGTTTTATCAGTTAGACGGAGCCAGTATCCGCAGTTGGGAAGATTTGGCTACTGCATTCTACAGGCAGTACCAATATAACTCCGACCTCGCTCCCACGCGTACCCAACTCCAGGGTATGTCAATGGGAACGGGTGAAGGATTCAAAGATTATGCTCAGAAGTGGAGAGACCTCGTCGGAATAGTGCAACCACCCTTGGCTGATCGGGAGCTTGTGGATATGTTTCTAGGGACCCTGTCTGGTCCATTCTTCAACCATCTGATTGGAAGCTCTTCATCTGGGTTTACAGAGCTTATTTTGACCGGTGAAAGGATTGAGGCTGGTATTAAGGCTGGTATGATACAGAAGGGTGCCTCATCGAGCACCGAGAAAAACCCTTTTAAGAAAGAGTCCAGTGCTGTCTACAGTTTGAAAAGACATAGTAGACCTGAACACCGCCAAGCTGTTAATGCGGTTGTTATTTCAAAACCTGCTGGTGCTCCTCAGTACAACAATCAACAAAAGGATGAGAGACCTTGAAGGCAATTCACCCGTCTTAGCATGACTCTGTCTCAGATTCTGCCACAGTTATTAAAGACCAATCTGGTGATTCCAAGGGAAGCCCCGAAGAATCCTAACACTACATCACCAAAGTACAACCCTAATGCCCGCTGTGCTTATCACTCTGATAGCCCGGGGCATAATACAGATGATTGTTGGACTTTGAAGAATAAGATACAAGACTTAATTGATGCTCAGGAGATCGAGTTCGAAACGTCCGAAAGACCTAATGTTGTGACTTCTCCTATGCCCAAGCATGGAGTTAATGCTATAGATGAAGACTTATTTATGGTTTCTGTGAACGACATTGTTACCCCTTTGATGACTGTGAAGAAGAACCTTTTGCTAGCCGATTTATTTCCAGGCTATGATGAAGGTTGCCGTATGTGTTCTGTTCTACCTACCGGTTGCCATCTTTTGAAATCAGGTGTCCAACGCCTGATGGATAGTAAAGAAATTCTGTTTGAGAAGACTGTTGCTCCTCTAGTTCATACTGAAAAAGTTGCCATTATCACCATTTTCGACAATTCTTCCAAGGCTCCCTCGAGGAAGCCTGTTAGAATTACATCTGTTCCAAGAATCGCACCTGTGATCATCACTGTTCTGGGGCCCATCCCCTATACCTCTGATAAAGCTGTCCCTTGGCATTACGGGGCCGATGTTTATTTTCATGGAGTTAAACAAGAGTTGGATGCTGATACCGACGTCAGCAATATTACTAGACCTGCTAAAGTCACCCGCAGCAAAAGACTTTTCTCACCTGATATCTCTCCACCAACTGCCCAAAAACCTGTTGTTATTACACCTGCCAGTGTACCTACTACTATTCCTGTTCAAGTTCTTATTCTTACCCTTGTCGCTGAGTCATTTGACACTTAGGGCAAAGGGATCACCAGTGAGCCTACCCAGACGGAGGCACCGAAGACGATTACTGTTGAAGCTTCTAAACAAGAGATGGAAGAGATTCTGAAAATCATCAAAAAGAGTGACTATAATGTAGTTGAACAGCTGGGGAAAACCCCGTCCAAGATCTCTATGTTGTCACTATTGCTATGCTCAGAAGCCCATGCCAAGGCTCTGATTACCTTCTTGAAGATTGCCCACGTACCACAAGAGACATCAGCTGATCAGTTTATAGATTGCATGGCCAATTTGACTGCTGATAATGGGTTGGGTTTCTCTGACACCGACTTGACTGCTAAAGGGAAGAATCACAATGATGCCCTGCATGTCTCTATTGAATGCAGGGACACTACTCTTGCTCATGTATTAGTGGATACTGGTTCCTCATTGAACGTCCTGCCTAAAAAAGCTCTAGACCGGTTGGACTGTGAAGGGTTGGAGCTGAAACCAAGTAACATCGTTGTTAGGGCCTTTGATGGGTCTAAGAGAATGGTGCATGGAGAAGTTGATATCCCGATTAAGGTTGGTTCTCAGGTTTTCAACTCTACGTTCTTTGTGATGGACATCCGGCCATCTTATTCTTGTTTGCTGGGTCGTCCATGGATCCACAAAGCCGGGGCCGTAACCTCAATACTCCACCAGAAGCTGAAATACCCGGTCAAGGGGAAGATTGTGACAGTACAAGGAGAGGAAGAGTACATGGTGAGCCACCTCAACTCTTTCCGATATGTAGAGATGGATGGAGAGTTCATTGAGACCCCATTTCAGAATTTTGAAGAGGTTCCCCAGACGCTGGCATCGGTCGAGACAGTTGTTGAAGATTCTCCTATGAAGATGGCTTCCCTTAGGGATGCCCGGGCTGTTATCGAGAAAGGTGGGTGTGCACAGTGGGGCCGACTCCCTAATTTTACACAACAGACTAACAAGTTTGGTTTGGGTTTCACTGCAGAAGCTCAAAGGGTTGTTCGGAACGCACGGATCGGAAGACCTCCCGTGTTCATCAGCAACTCGGGAGTGAATGCCATTGAAGACGATGTGGAAGAGTCTGAATTTGACAGTTGGATCTATCCTAAGACCGACAGTGGACCAAGCAACTAGACAGCAAAGGACTTCATCCCTATTTCTTTTGTGGCAAAATACCCTTTTTAGTCCTTTAACTTTACCCCAAGGTCCATTTTGGTCCTTTATCTAAAAAAAGTGTCAAACTGGTCCTATAATTCTTTCAAAAGGACCACGTTTGTCCTTTCCATCCACTCTGTTAGTCATGTTTAATGGCAGCGCTTATGTGGCATTACACGTGGGTTTAGAAAAATTGCATAAGTCACTTTGACACTCTTATGTGGCATTACCACTCATCCATTGCATGTTTCCTTGAAGGTGAAACCAGACTTCTCATCAGAGGTAAGTTTCTTCTTTCTGCAAGAATTCTATTTTCATAGTTAGGGTTTCCATGAAATTCGTCTCCCTTCTCTGAAATTCATCTCTCTATTTAGGGCATTGTGTGTAATGGAGGAAATTCTTAATATTACGATACACCACAGTGGTCAATTTGTTAGTGAGGACTTGAGTGTGTATGAAGGAGGTGAGATTGCTGATTTGAGAGTAGATGCTGATATGTGGGGTTATTTTGAGTTATTGGGTGCTATTAAGGAACTAGGTTACCCAGCCATAGAGAAGATATACTATAAGGATCCAACTGCTGGAGTGAATCTGTTGTTTGATGACAAAGGGGCCTTAGAGATTGCTGATCTATATAGGGTTCATTTACGTGTTGAAGTCTTTATTCAACACCCATTGTCACAGCCTGAGTATGTTGATGAGAGTGAAGTTATTTTAGATGAGATACCCCTGAATGTAATGGAAGATGATGCAGTTAGACAAAATGAGGTAAGTGAGGATGCTGTTGGACAGAAGGAGGCAAGTGAAGATGTTGTTATACAGAAGGAGGCAATTGAAGATGTTGTTGGACAGAAGGAGGCAAGTGAAGATGTTGTTATACAGAATGAGGCAAGTGAAGATGATGTTGGACAGAAGGAGGCAAGTGAAAATGCTGTTGGACAGAACGATGATGATAGTTCTGATGATGATAGCTCTGATGATAGTAGCTTTTCGTATGATAGTGCAAAGGAGGTTGTATTTGATGATGAAACTGATGACTGTGATACTGACTTGGAAGAGGAAGAAGGTATGGCAGAAGTAACTGATCTCTGTGAAACTGAACCAAATAAAGAAGATAGTAAAGGAAGTGATAAAGGAAGTGATAATGAAAGTGAGGATCTTGTAAGTGATTGTGATAGTGAAGATAGCAATACTACCAAGAGAAAGAAGTATCCCATTTTCAAGCTTCTAAAGGATATGTCCAATTACAAATGGGAAGTGGGTACATATTTTAGTACAAAAGAAGATATCAAGGAAGCAGTTACCTCTTATGCAGTCCAATCTGGCAGAAATTTAAAGTACATCAAAAATGACAAGATAAGGGTTAGGGTTAGGTGTAAGGATGGATGTGAATGGGAAGGTTATTGGGCTAAGTTGGATGTTGAGGATACTTGGCAACTAAGAAAGGTGATAGACACCCATAGTTGTAGTAGAGAATATCATGTGAAGTTGTTGAAGACTAAATGGCTTAGCAAGAGGTTGCAGAATGCACTTAAAACCAACCCTAGATTGAAGCTTAAGGACATTAAGGAAAAGGTGCAGAGGAAGTGGAATGTGGGGGTCAACAAAACCAAGGCTATAAGGGCTAGGTTTGCAGCAAGAGACATGGTTGATGGGTCATTCTTAGGGGATTATACAAGGATTTATGACTATGCACATGAGTTGTTAAGATCTAACCCAGGGTCAACTGTGAAAGTACATGTCCAACCAGCTCAAGAAGGTAGTGGTGTTCAGAAATTACACTTCAAAAGGATTTACATATGCTTGGCAGCTTGTAAGGAAAGCTTCAGGTTAAGTAGACATTTCATAGGGCTTGATGGATGTTTTTTGAAAGGGCTTTGTGGAGGTCAAATCCTGTCAGCCATAGGCAGAGATCCCAATGATCAAATGCTACCAATAGCATATGCAGTAGTGGAGAGTGAAAACAAGGAAAGTTGGACATGGTTCTTGGATCTGCTTATTGGTGATCTAGGTGGAAGAGAAGAGTGTCTCACATACACTTTTATTTCTGATCAACAAAAGGTATGACTCTATTTTTAATTCTCAATTGATTAGTATTTTTAATAATTAAATTCTCATGTTTATCTTGGTATTCTCATGTTTAATAATTAAGTTATATACATATCATGACCCAGGGATTATTGCCTGCAATGGAGGAACTGCTGCCTACAGTTGAACAAAGATTCTGTGTTAGGCATCTCTACAACAACTTTAGGAAGAGATTTCCAGGAAAAAAACTAAAGGAAATTATATGGAAGGCATCCAAATCAACTTACTACCAAGCTTGGGAAAGAGAGATGAAAGTTATGAAACATATCAATGGAGAAGCATACAAGCACATGATGTCTACCCCTCCAAGGTTTTGGAGCAGATCATACTTCAAGACTCATAACAAATGCGATGAAGTTCTCAATAATATGTCAGAATCCTTTAATAGTGTTATTTTGGAGTCAAGGGCCAAGCCATTAATAACCATGGTGGAAGAAATTAGGATATACATGATGGAGAGATGGGCTACAAACAGGATGAGGTTTCAGAAATTGACAGATGTAGAAGTGTTGCCAAACATTATGAAAAAGGTTGAGAAAACAAGTTCATTCACAAACATGTGGCTTCCCAGGTAAAATTATTAAAACAAGCATTTTTTCTGTGTTAGAATGTCTGACTTTGGAATGTCCATTCTCATCTTAATTTGGAATGTCCATTTTTCTGTGTTAGGATGTCTGATGAGCATATGTTTGAAGTGAGGCATCTGGAAAATTCTGCTGAAAAATTCACTGTAAACTTGAAGGAAAAAAATCTGTTCATGCAGAAGATGGGAGCTAACAGGCCTACCATGTGTTCATTCACTTGCAGCAATCAAGAATAGGAACCATAGGATTGATGAATACATTCCTGATTATTACAGGAAATCTAGATATTTGCAAGTGTACAAACCTGTCATATTCCCTGTTAATGGCTCAAACCTATGGGTTACAACTGAGTACCCTGATGTTATGCCACCCAAATTCAGGAAAATGCCTGGAAGGCCAAAGAAAAGGAGGAATTTAGAGCAAGGTGAGCTAGATGGTACTGATAAAAAGATGAGAAGAACAAGATTCATTATAAAGTGTAGCAGGTGTAAGCAGGTAGGTCACAACAAGCTTACTTGTAAGGTGCCTTCTACTAGTCAGACACATGTAGCTCAACCATCTGTACCACAAGCACCATCTGTACCACACGCACCAGTGCCTTCTCAACCATCTCAAGCATTTGTACCAGTGCCTTCTCAACCATCTCAAGCATCTGTACCAGTGCCTTCTCAACCATCTCAAGCATCTGTACCAGTTCCTTCTCAACCATCTCAAGCATCTGTACCAGTTCCTTCTCAACCATCTCAAGCATCTGTACCAGTGCCTTCTCAACCATCTCAAGCATCTGTACCAGTGGCATCATCTGTACCAGTGGCATCTCAAGCATCTAAGTCAGTTCCTGGTCAAGGTTCTCAGGCATCTCAATCTAAATCATCCAAAAAGTTGTCAGTTAGAAGGCCAAATGCACCATTTGTCCCATCTCAAGCATCTAAGTCAGTTCCTGGTCAAGCTTCTCAGCCATCTCAATCTAAATCATCCAAAAAGTTGTCAGTTCGAAGGCCAAATGCACCATTTGTCCCACCAGGTCCAACAACGAGGTTAAAGGCATCAATAACTGTTGTAGGTCCAACAACAAGAAGGACAACACCAACTAAAAGAGCAGCACCAAAGTGGAAACCTTAGTTTACTTTTATGTCTGTTTTGGATTAGGATTGGACCTATAGTTGTTACGTTGTTTTGTTAACTTGGAATATTAGAATTGGTTATGTTAAGTTGTTTTGATCATGTAATATCAAGAAGGACAAGTTTTTGTTTTGACCTGTAATATCAGGCTGTTGTTTTGATCATGTAATATCAAGAAGGACAAGTTTTTGTTTTGACCTGTAATATCAGGCTGTTTGGATTGGACCTGTAATATCAGGTTCTTTTGTATGCAACTTAGTGGTATCCACCACCTTATAATTATATGTTTGGATTGTTACAGTATGTTACATTATGTTTTACATTGATACAAAAATGCTACTAGTTTTACAGTACGTTACATTGATCAAAATGCTACATTGATACAAAAATTGCTACATTATGTTTTACAGTATGTTACATTGATCAAAATGCTACTAGTTCAAAAATTCAAGTTGATACAAAAATTCAAATTCATAATGATACCATGTTCAAATTGAGACTGTGTTACATATGAATCTATTACAACATCATCCAAATTACCACAACTAACATAATAAAGAAGAATCTTTTCCATTTTTTCTGAGAATTCTTCATCTTCTTCATTTCAATTTGTAACTCCGTTATCTTATGTTTCAGCCCATCCTTCCTTTCCTTTAGATGATGTATCTCCATCTTTGCTCCATCAAGCTCATTTTGCAGCTTCTCCAACCTATTATTCTGCTTCTTTATAAACTGATCCTTCTCATCCACCACATCATCAAAGAACCATTGAAAGTATCCACACCCAGATTCAGATGAACCCTGTAATGGTGACATCCAGATTCATCTCAGCTATTGCAGGAACTATCAGAACAAGAATATATGAAAACCCATTTTAATTTCATGCTTACCTTGTAATGACGACAACCCCAGAATTGCTTCCCAAAGTTTGTGACGGTGGTAGCCCTTCGAAGAACCGCAGATTCTCCACAACCACATATAGGTCTCCATCGCAACTTTCCATCTAAACTTCCATCTCTATTGCAATCGTACGAAGACCGAATCTCTGATGATGCTTCCTTCATCATATTGAGGGAATTTCAAATTCAAAATGGGAAAATTGAGGATTTCTTGAACCCTAGAATTTGAGGATTTCTAGAACCAGCTTGAAGATGATAACATTCCATGTCACCTGCCACGCATGCAAACCAAATGTCCGTTTGGGCCTTTTGGACGGAAAGGATTCCTATGGTCCTTTTGAAAGAATTATAGGACCAGTTTGACACTTTTTTTAGATAAAGGACCAAAATGGACCTTGGGGTAAAGTTAAAGGACTAAAAAGGGTATTTTGCCTTCTTTTGTTACCCAGTAATGAAACTTTTTGTTTTGAATATGTAACTGACAATATTTTAAACTTTATGGCCCGGTGTCTTCCCCGGGGCACCGTGGCTTCATTTGTGAGGGCTTTCTGTGTATCATTTTCATATATCATTAATAAAAGCATTGGACGTTTCTTGCATTTCAAATCTTGCGCTCCTTGTTTTTCTTTTATTATATATTGCAAAACAGCTATTTTACACACACTCATATATACAAGTCTACATCCACTCTGGATCTCACTGGTAACGACTCTGCTACTGCCAGTTATGACTTCGAAAATCCGATCAACTTAGCCGAAGACGAAGGTGAAGATGATTGCGAAGTGCCTGGTGAACTTGCAAGACTGTTACTCCAAGAAGAGAGGGCCATTCAGCCGCACGAAGAGCCAGTGGAATCAGTGAATCTGGGTACAGAGACAAACAAGAAGGAAGTTAAGATCGGTGCAAATCTGGAGCTTAGTGTGAAACAACGGTTGATTCAGATGCTATGCGACTACGTTGAGATCTTTTCCTGGTCTTACAAAGATATGCCTGGGTTAGATACTGATATTGTGGTTCACCGCCTGCCTACCAAGGAAGACTGCCCTCCAGTAAAATAGAAGGTCCGCCGAATGCGCCCAGAGATGTCTGAGAAAATCAAGGCTGAAGTTATGAAACAGTTTGACGCCGGTTTTCTAGCAGTTACTTCTTACCCTCAGTGGGTGGCCAATGTGGTTCCTGTGCCGAAGAAGGATGGTAAGGTTCGAATGTGTGTTGACTATAGGGATCTGAACAGAGCAAGCCCCAAGGATGATTTCCCTCTACCTCATATTGACGTCCTGGTTGACAACACCGCTCAGCATAAGGTCTTCTCCTTTATGGATGGATTCTCCGGTTATAATCAGATTAAAATGGCTCCCGAAGATATGGAAAAGATAACCTTTGTTACTCAGTGGGGTACTTTTTGCTACAAGGTCATGCCTTTTGGACTGAAGAATGTCGGGGTAATGTATCAGCGTGCCATGGTTGCTTTGTTCCACGACATGATCCATCATGAGATTGAGGTATACGTCGATGACATGATTGCAAGATCTCAGACTGAAGAAGAACATCTTGACCATCTTCAGAAGCTATTTGACAGGTTGAAGTTGTACAAGTTGAGGTTAAACCCGAATAAGTGCACCTTCGGGGTGAGATCTGGTAAGTTACTGGGTTTCATCGTAAGCGACAAAGGTATTCAAGTGGACCCTGCCAAGGTGAAGGCTATACAGGAGATGCCAGCTCCCAGAATAGAGAAAGAAGTCAGAGGCTTTCTGGGACGTCTGAACTACATTGCCCGATTCATCTCACACCTAACTGCTACTTATGAGCCAATCTTCAAGCTGCTGAAGAAAGATCAAGTAGTACGTTGGAACGATGAATGCCAGGCCGCTTTCGAAAGGATCAAAGAGTATCTCCAAGAGCCACCCATTCTAATGCCACCAGTTGAAGGGAGACATCTGATCTTATACTTGACAGTACTCGACAACTCAATGGGGTGTGTGCTGGGTCAGCATGACGAGTCTGGCCGAAAAGAGCATGCTATTTATTACCTTAGCAAAAAGTTTACCGACTGTGAGACCCGATACTCACTGCTCGAGAAAACTTGCTGCGCTTTGGCATGGGCTGCTCGCCGGCTAAGACAGTATATGTTGACTCACACTACTCTATTGATATCAAAGATGGATCCCATCAAGTATATCTTTGAAAAGCCTGCTTTGTCCGGAAGAATAGCAAGATGGCAGATGATATTAACTGAGTATGACATCCAGTACACGACCCAAAAGGAAATTAAGGGAAGCGTGTTGGCAGACCATTTGTTACATTAGGAAATGGATGATTACCAGTCTATGAACTTTGAATTTCCGGATGAGAATATCATGCTAGTAACTGACTGTGAGACACCTGGACCAGATGAAGGACCTGAGGAGAGATCCCGATGGTCTATGTACTTTGATGGAGCTTCAAACGCTTTGGGTAATGGCATTGGCGCCGTGATCATATCTCCTAAAGGCTCTCATACTCCGTTTATCGCCCGACTATGT